AATAATATAAATTTCTTTGTAATTTGAGTAACAATCCATTCTCAGACTGACACAAAGCCATGAAATACTTAAATTCAATATAATCAACAAGGCAAACTAATTTTCAACACATATAGATTGATTAGGAAACCAATAAATACCTTTACTCTTTCTTTTATATCAGCAACTGTGATAATCTTGTTGTCATGATTATTATCCTTCAAAACTAATTCTAAATTATTTATTGCAATTCTAGCATCTCCATCACTTATATTACTTAGCCATTCAATAGCAGAAGTGGTTACGAACAATCTAAAATAATGATTCTTTTAATTACATTACAATAGATATATTTCATTCTTAATGATTCTTGCGCACCTATCTAAATTCTTACAACTGTTTTCATCATCAATCACACCAATATTTTGTATCTGCAATGCTCTTTTTAAAATTAACATAAGATCCGATGTTTGCAACTTCTCAAAAACAACTACCCTACATCTTGATAAAAGAGCAGAATTAATATAAAATGATGGATTTTCTGTTGTAGCTCCAATTAATGTTATATCACCATTTTCAACACATAAAAGAAAAGAATCTTGTTGTCTTTTATTGAATCTATGTATTTCGTCCATAAATATTATTGTCTTTTTTCCAAATTTTAATTCATTTTTTGCTATTTCAACTGCATTATTAACTTCTTTAATGTTTGTGGAAGCAGCACATAAATTAACAAACTTAAACTGCTTGGGGTTCTCATTGCAAATTTCATTTATTATACCTGCTAAACAAGTTTTTCCACAGCCTGGTGGACCCCATAATATCATATTAGGAATTTCTTTATTCTGCAAAAGATGATATAAAGACGTATTTTTTCCTAAAACATGATTCTGTCCATAAAAATCTTCTAAATGTTTTGGCTTAATTTTCTTAGCTAGTGGAACATTATTAATGCAAAGTTTCGCTTTCACAGTTACAGAGGATATTGATTTTTCCATTAAACTATTGCTTTGCTGATTTTTACATTCTAAATTATCAGTTAAACTTGATGCACATGGTTCATGAGATGAAACTGATACATTGCTCGTTTCAGAGGAAAGTAACAAATTTCTTTTACGTTTAAGCGTGTTTTCATTAGAGTTCAAAAATATGCATTTATTTACATGTTCTTCGATAATACCCATGGCAAATTTCTTGAAACAAATTGGGCAAACTTGATGTGTGTCATCAGATTTTGAGTTCATTTTGGAAGTAATACTTTATTTTGATGAAGTACACAACACCTCAATTCTAAAACTATTTGCCATCTATTTACAAATGTAACTATAGATAAGAGATTTACAGTAGATTGCATAGGTTGAATGTAGCAACTAATGACTACAGATAAGAAAGCTTCTGGTGTTCGTCTTCATCTGCCTAGACTAGGAAATAGATGTAAAACTCGCGAGATTTTAACGATACTAGTGACATCTAAGTTTACCTTACATTAGTAGACGATACTTCGAATATATATATAAATGGTATTGGCAAAGAAAACTTCGAATTTCACTGCCATCTATACATCAAACTATTAAGCGTAACCAAAGGCGCGCATTTCAAAATTACACCAAATTTTATTTTTTTTGTTTTAAATGGAAATTGAAAAAAAAAAAAAAAATTAACAAATTTAATAACAAAGTATAAATGCAGTAATAAATATAATTAGCACAATATACGAGTAAATAGCAAACATCAATTAATTAAAACATAGATACTAATACAGGTATATTTGTATGAACAAAGAAATTGTTCTTTACCTAATTTAGTACTGCTTCCTGCTTCTACAGGGGATGCTAACGATTCAGAAACTGCAGAAATACTAGCTTCTGTATTGTCCATTGTGAGTGTACTTTCTATAACAAATAATTATATATGTTTTGGATATTTGAAACTGTTATCTGCATAACTACCTGCAGTTGAAACAATTCTTCTTTTCCCGTCATATGTTTTCACTGGATGCAGTACTTTTTCATCTTTTAATGGGGCAATTCCGTCTGCTTCAATTCCTCTACCAGAAGAAGTTCTACAAAACATTTTTTTTAGAACTTAAGTTTCACAACAACAAATTACAATACCTGCCACTTTCGTTGGAACCGCTGTTACTTCAGGAAAATGGAAAGCGGCATCTTGACCTTTAACTCCTGCAGGAACTGTATAATCTACGTAGAACATTTCAAATTAATTTGACCCCGTAATAGTGTAGACTGTACATCACGGTTTTTCTGTGTTGGGCAGAAAACATCCTTTCTTTAGTTATTGTAAAGCATGATTGAAGTACTTTTCACAAAAATTTTAAAATATTACAAGTTGTGAAACTACTCACTACTGCTCAATAACGCCACAACTACTGGGGAATTCCTCCGATAATCGCAACCGCCGTCGCGTCATCTGTTGTCGTTTCAGTAAAATGGATGTCGTCTAGTATGTCGGTAAGGTCGATTTTGGTAATTTAAAAAATTTAAAAACTTACGTGGGGTAAACTTAGATGTCACTACTATCGTCCAAATTTCGAGAGTTTTACATCTATTTACCTAGTCTAGGCTCTCTTCTCTGGCCTTACACAGTTACACACGCGTTATGAAGCTAGCGAAAGCGCGGAAGGAATCGGGCCGCTTTAAGTGTTCCATTTTTTAATCCGAAAATGCTTTGTCCCCTTGCCAGTAATTAAGGGTTAAACAAAGATTTACACACTTTGTTTTAGTAGTGAATATAAAAGGCTTTTTCTAAAGAAAAAATTGTAATATTTCTGTTTATCGTGTGATTGTTGCTGTATACTATAAACAGTAGTATAGAATTTTGAAGAAATTTTGAAATTTTGAATGCTTATAATTGTATTTATCCTGTGATGGTTACTGTAAATAATAAAAAAATGTGGCAAATAATATTGAGCATGGAAAGACGCAACGCAAATATATATGATAAAGCTCACCAACTTAACACAATAAAAATAGATAAAAGTGTTGTAACTCAGGTAGTTATGGTGAATTTAATGAAAAGTCATATTTAACATTTATATTAATAAAGTATTTGCATTTTATGTGGATACAGAATAATTTTTTATTTCATACTTCCTGTTTATTTGAAACCTTGCCCAATATAACGGCAGTAATAAAGTTATAAACTACTGCTAAAGAAGTTGGAATTCATTTATTTGAATTCGAATAAAAAGGCGGCAAAAGTAAAATTATTTCCCAATTTGTGCAAATGTTACGGAGGCTTACGATTCTTAACGTAGGTTCTTTCTGTCATAGCTTTCTGTCTTTGTGTTCTGTGTCTTTCATCTCAGCGGTTACCATAGATTACATTAGAGCAAAGATAAGAGGATTAGAGATACACTAACTCTCTTAACTACTAAGGCGGTTAAGGGTCTGCCCATCGACGTTTACTAATGGACATGCCTTAGTGGTCAGAATTGTGGTACAATAAAAGAAAGAGATGGAACGAATAGAGATAGCACTTGTCCGAAACCATACGCCATCTCCCTCACTTTTTCAGCCAAGAAATTGTTACAATACATACAGCTAAGGCACATCCATTAATATATGTCTATGGGTCTGCCAATATCCAATACAACTTTATAAAGGTTGTCTTCCCAATTACGGGTAGAGTATACAGCTAGTCTAGGGTATACAGCATAGATAAGTTACAGTTCAATTGATGTACCATAGTCATCGGTGTTGCGCACTATGAACTAAATAATTCCATGAAAATACAGGATAACCTACTAAAAAAAATGATTTGCGTAATATTTTACGCCACCTACTGATTGCATATCAAACTACTGTGTTCCAACGAGCATCCTGTTTGTGTCACTTTGTGCTGCCAATATTCACAACTACAATTAGGAAGCTCATCCTGATTTCCCGAACAGAGATTTCTCTATGGTCTATGGTGTAGAATAGTTTAGAAAATGGCATCTATGTTGCGAAACAACTGTAATGGGTGAATGGGTGTGTAGTTCATGGTTACAGAAGTGTTTTTACTTGAATGGAAACAATTCTTACTATTTTTAATTGTTTTACAGTAATAGGTAAGCTATATTAAAATTAGTGTTTATGTATTGTAAACACGAATAAAATTGTTGATGGAGGATTGGGTGGGATATTGAAATTGCTCGAAATATGCATAATATACGTGTCTGTACTAATTTTATTTTACAAAGATGTGTTCATTTATTTTTGGCCTTGTCTGTAGTGTAATTTGTTTGTAATATTTACCATATTTTAATGATTTTATATTGGTCTACATGTATTCCGAGTCTGGTTGTTTTTTAATAGCATAATTATTGTCCTACAAATATTGAGTAGTGTAAATATGTCCATACGTAAATGACCTAGGCAAATGATTATTATAGGGAAGTGACATTTGTGTAAGCAAATAGTTCTGGATCAGTCATGTGGTTGTCTACTCGATTTCTCTCATCAGGCAAATGTTATTTATCATACAACTTAATGACCGAATTTATTGTGTAAATAAGTTTTTAAATTTTACTTGTAAAAGTTATTAGATGGTTGTGTAGTTTGCAGGGAAGTGAAGTATGGAATACAATTATTCTGATAACATTAACCATTTGAAATTAACACTAGGCACAATTATCAGATTGACCTGACTTTATAGTGTGATTCTTCAACAGAATTGGTTTTGCTATGAGACCTACAATGTATGCTTTTTATAAATTTTCATATTAAACTCTTGAGGTGTATAAAGTAATGTTGTTAGGAATATGAGATCTTAACTAGGATAATACGTAATACCTATATTATGAATCTTTCGCTAGTTTTAAATTGTATGAGATTTTCGGTAGTTTTGGTTATAGTGTCAATTACTTTTTAATAACCCAAGAATCTCAATGTGCCATCAAAGCAATTCGTGATACATATGTTTGTTAAATTAAAAAGAATATCTATTTTTTATTGAGCTTTGATAGCCCGGAATACATTTAACTCATATCGCCAAGACAGCAACAAGAAAAATATTTACATGGGAATATATTTGTAAAGACATTTATTATTATGGTAGTGGATACTATTTTTACGGATAGTAAATCAAAAGTTATATTTTAACAGAACATATATGAAAATAATGCACTTATCAGATATAATTATCACTTTCTTGACTTGCATTGAAGTAAAACAAACATGCGGATTTTTAATTACATAATTAATTTCTGCAAAATGTGGTTACCTTTCTCTTCATTACTGCTTATTGCTTGTCACTGTATTTTATAGCAACCAGTACACTTGTAGACCGGTAGATGATGACAGAAGTTATTGGACTATTTTATGGGAAACATTTGTATTGCTTAAAATAGATTTAAGAGGTGTGTAAATTTAGCACCTTATCGAAAGATTTGCGAGGTGATAGTGACCTTAATCGAAGGTTTTCGTTAGGTCAGTTCAGGCCCAATGTTTTTTTCGTTAGGAGCCACATTTTCAATTTTTTTAAAATGTTTTATTAAAAATTTCGTATCTTAACACCTCAGTCATGATCAAATAGTTATAATATTTTATTTTTATTCTTTATCGTTAGGTCAATATTGATCCATAATTTTTACCAGTATTCGTTTTTAATGTTGTATTAATAATTATAAATTAATTAAAATTGTGTCTATTCTATATATTCAAATTGTGTTATATTTGAGTTGGTTGTTTAACTACTTAGTTGAGCAGCAACTTTCGTAAAAGTATAATTAATGTAATCATTTACTATCTCTACCCTCTATAATGGAAATCACCAGCTGATCGTAAGCGACATGTGGAATCCTGAAAATGCTATTTGATTTAAAAGAATATTTTTAATAAATTGCATAAAACTAAAATAATTCGTTATATATAGTATCAAAGTCTAAAAAACAAAGAAAAGTAATTCATTGATATCAAAAAATTAAAGGATCAATCATTAATTAATTGAAATGGATTAAATGAAATAGATTAATAGGAATCCATATAATAATTGGTAAAGGTGGGGGATCGAAAGAGGGTGGTCACCTGAGTAAAACCCCATAAAAAATTTGCGGCGGTCTCACACCCATAAAAAGTTATGGGGGTTGAAAGTTGATTATTTTGACAATTTTCATACACTATAATTCAAATAAAATTCAATTCGGAAAGGTCAATGCGGGCAATACGAGGGTGGATTGATAAGTTTCCGGCCTAACCAAGAGATGACGCCACTAGGCCTACCTTGAGGTGACATTCTATAGTACCATCCTTGGATAGCTTGTAGCTATAGTTTCAGCCCGATCTCCT